CCTCCGTCCGGGCAGGGACCCCCTCCGTCCGGGCAGGGACCCCCTCCGTCCGGGCAGGGACCCCCTCCGTCCGGGCAGGGACCCCCTCCGTCCGGGGGCTCCGCAGAGGTGGTTCAGCTTCAGTGTGCGCTCCGGTTTTGTTAGAACTGAGACACTCCAGCCGTTGTGCTCCCCTCCCGCTGTCGTTAGGAGAAACAGGGTATCAGTAATACTTATGTGGCTGTCTGAAACTAGCAGGTTCAGTCGTGGTGCTGTTAAAACAGCGGTATGAGGGCTTCTTTAAGCACTGCTGCCTCCAGCCTAGGTATGGATATAGGTCAGATTATTTTTATTATGTTTGCAAGACCTGGGGGCTGAAAGGGGAATTAAATAGAATGTCTGTGTGGCAGAATACTGAAGAAAATACTTGTTCTCTTCTGCACTTTTAATTATGATACAAGCTGTAATGGTCATCTAGGAAGTAAAGAAATACTTGACAGGAGGGAGGAGCTGGTTTTTTAAAAAAGTGTTAGAGGAAGAGAATACCAGTAACAACCAAGAGAACCAAACCAGAAGTAGTAGTTCTGGGCTTTTAGAACACAGCAACGTTTTGATTCACCAGTAAAGCTGTCAGTAAAGCTTTTTAAAAGGAAAGGTTTTTTTGCTGTCTTGCTCCTTTTTTTGTTCTGGGTGTTCCTTCCATTTGTTTCATTCCATTTGTTCTGTGTGCTTTCCCCCTGTCCCATTTCTTACTCATCCTTTACCCAGAGACTAAGAGCCTAAATTGTTAATTGACCTTGACATCACTTCTAGCTTCTAAATTGTAATTTTCTAGCTTTTTGTCTTATCTATTGAAATATTTTTTTCTTCAGTACCATAATAGGGCCTCTTCTTAGTTGTCTTCAACTATCTGTGGTAGTAATAACAAGTACTAGTAATTTCTATTCTCACCACATATTGTCCACATTCCAAAAATGGGGATGTTTTCATTTAATACTACTGTCTTTTTTCCAGGCATCTCAAATATGGGCAAGTCAGTTGTTTGGAGATGAGGATGGTATTTAAGACTAGGATACTGGCTTTGCTGACTTTGATTAACTCTGTCTTTTGTTTAAAGATGGTGAAAAAGATGATGAACCAGCTGCCACTAAGAAACGTAAACTAGACTCTGGGGAGCAGACAAAGAAGAAGAAGTTATAAGCAAGGCATGCCAGATGTAGCCATAATGAGAATTCCAATGGACTTGGATTCCTCTGCTGGAATGGGAAACAAATACATGTTTACGGAATTTCTCTCTCGTGTCGGGTAGGGAATTTTGTTTCTGTAGTATGCTTGCCTTTTGGAAAGCACAAAATTAAATGGACAGTGTTGTGATAGAAACTTGTCTACCGAGCAAAATTCAAACCTGTTTATTTAAAATAGGGATTTAGAAGAGGGGTTCATTAGGATGGTTACTTGCATTCGTGCAGGTTACAGGTCTCCATGGTATTTTCTTTACCAAGAAACCTGGTGGTAACGTAAGCCTTTCAGGACTGACTTTTCCATTGTGTCAAAACCTTTTATAAAGGAGTATATACTAAAGATTCTTTAAGTACTGTCCTGTGATATGTTTGCATAATGTTGTTTTGAAGTGTATGGAAAG